TTAAATGGGGCATCAGACCGTTCGAATACAATTTTAAGAATTAAAAATGTACCAGAAAATATTTCGACTGAAATCACTGAAGAAGGCGAACTATCAGAAAATATTTCAGCTACAGTCAGAAACAGTGATGAAATGTCAGACAATATTCCAACCTCTTTCAGAGATGTAAAATATGAAAGATATCCACCCAATTTTGGTCATTATCCAGAAATTCTTACAGAGGATAAAAAAGGATTTATTTAAAATTTTGGCCTTTGTGGACCAAAAGATGGCGATTCTCCCCAAAATAAAGACAGCAGATACTTTTCTTCTGTTCATTATACCATGATCAATATCACCGTTTTAGAGACAGCTTTGTTATTTCACTTGAACTCAACATAGACTATTGTGAACCATGTTGGTTAATTTCAAATAAGGACAGATATGGTCGACAGGAATACAGGTTTGGCAAACATTACCCATAATGAGGAAAAAAGAAAAAAAAAAAAAAAGCGAGAGAAGTTCTCATCATATCACAAGCTGTAAGCAAATAACTGTATAGGTCAAATATGGGGAAAATCTGTAAAAGATGAAATCAATTTCAGTTAGTTTTAGAGAGATTAAATCCAGATAACTTTAGCAAAAATAACAGTGGTTACATACAAAAGGAGTTTTTTATCTGATGTCACATTATTGGAAGAATATGACATTGTGATGAATGACATTATAAAAATGCTCTCAAATGCTGTTACATATTTGAATTCTACAACACAAAATGAGTTAATTGATCGTTTAAGTAGTATTTGTTTAAAAACAAAGCTTTTGGATGAAATTAAAAATTTTCTTTTTTATTTCTTTGTACGAATAATCGTAACAAAGTAATCGTAGTCGCGAAAAATTTCGGTTATCATATTTTAATAAAAATATGCATTTTGACTATTCCCGAATCCATCTGGGGCCCTCCAGCGGCCGAGCGGTAAAGTCGCTGAACGCTGGTAGTTAGGTCCGAGGCTCGAATTCCCCGCCCGAACGGCCCAGCTGCATGGACCTTCGTAGGTTTTCTTCTTGTGTGACGTGTATACGAGCCAGTTTCCCTTACAGAGAGCTCCACGAAGGCACCCTTTTCCTAGGAAAAAAGCTCTCGAGACTTTGCCGTAATTGCATAAAATAAACCGAATACATTCTTTTTCTGGAGGAAGGGCGGTGACATCTGTATGTACAGACAGAATAAAGGACTCTTTTTTTTTTTTTTCCAAAAGGATTATAAAATGGTTTCAAAAGGGATTTTCTCAACATTTGTACGTTCGCATGTACGTACGTATGTATGGATATACATGCATCGCATAACCCAAAAACGAAGAGCGTTGAAATTTTGCCTATTGGGCTCCTTATAATATCAATTCGTAAACTTCTCTTTTTTATTGCAATTGGCAGTGTACATATACATATATATCGACCCCCTTACCCGGCCTTTATTTTTACAATCGTTGGTAAATTATTATTTTCCCATATATGACTATTATTTTCACAATAGTCATATCTTCCCATTACAAAAGTGTTTTAAAGACGAAAAATGTTTTGGCTATGCCAAATTAAAAAAAAAAAAAAAAACATAATTTTTGACAAATAATGAAATTTAACTTTTCATTCGGCCTACCAGTTCCTATACTTGGGAAAGTTTTGTACTCGTTATGAAAAATAAATTAGAAGAAGGTTGCCTCTCGTACGACAAAACCAGCAGGGATATTTAATTCCTAATTTTCAATTTTTGATGTCATTTTGAACTTACCTTGAGGGATCGGGTAATTAAGTTAAAATTATTCGAGAAAATAACTTTAAATTAAATGCATCAAAAAAAGTATAATTATAATAGGCGATACAAGGAAGTCATGTGTCTCCATATCAGATTTTTAAGTGCTCAACTTGATCTAATAAAAACTATTATCAAAATGTTGGCTTCTGGAAACCTCAAATTTTTTTCGGGCGGCGTAGTACCGTAAATTTATTTGGGGAGGAGGGAGTTTTTTTTTTTTCCATAGAGTCTCTAGAGTTTTAGTTATGCCACTGTGTGGAATAGTTTATAAAGGAAATAGGTTCATATCCAAGTTCCAAGTTACACAAGTGAAAGACTATGAACACACCCCTGCAGCCACCCTGTTCGCCGGTACTTGAACAAGGGTCGAATCACTAATGGTCAGCGACTTCAATCGACTCACAGCACTCGGTTGCTGCTGAGCTTGTTATATTACAGAAGAGATCCACTATTACTCGAAATCCTCCTCCTCAGTTAGTTCGGGTAGACGGGGTTTCAGAAAGATACAAGTGTTTGAAATTAACCAAAGTTTATCCTTTGAAAGTTTGGATTTAAGACATATATAATTCTGGATTTCAAACATATAATTCATAATAAATAATATTCAAGTATGTAATTCTGGACATGTTTAAATCGTACTTGTTTATTTTTACAACCATTATTAAAATCAGTTATTATTTGCTAGATATCGTCTTTCTCAATCGAATTAGGTTAGGAATAAAATAAACTGCTCTTTAATGGAAAACTACAATACGACATTGCAGTACTTCTACTTACGAAGCAAAAAAAAAGAAAAACGACTTGTATAGATACAGACGTACACCAAAAAAAAAGATTAAACATTTTCTGTTAACAGAAGCAGCAGCCAAAATGTACGCAAATGCATCAAAAATAAAAATTTTAACAATAAATATAACTGTAGGGATAGTACTTAAAATCTGCAATCTACATAATTTTTCAAAACAGTGAATCACATTATATCTGCATTACTGGCATCTACATTTAGTGCTTTAACAAGAAAAGTGCTGCATTTTAATCCTTAACTTATTTTTCAATTTCATGTGCATAATTTCAAACGTTCCTTCCAAATCCCTGCTGCTAAAGATCTCTCTGTACTTAACATGTCAGTGATATCCAGTTCTATTTCCCCCGTGCATTCTTTTACAACAGCTATTGATTTCCACCACTCAAGTGTGATCAAACTCATTTACAAAAATGATGCTGCAGAAAGGTGGTGGATGCTAGTAAGGCTTCGGCTTTATGCTTGGTGATAAAATATAAGCTAAAAAATGTGCTGATAATAGTGCTTACTCTTATCGTGTTTTAAATAATCGTATGCACGCCTAAACAAGATTTCCTGCATTGTTTTCTCAAATTTTAACAGCTTCAGCAATTATCCTTCTGGGCTTTAACCAAAGCAACTGAAAATGCCTTCATAAAACTAACAAATTTTCCCCATTTTGTTTGACTAACATATTATGAACTTTAGACTGAATATTCTTGTCATCTCGATTTTCTTCTACAATTCGCATGAAAATTCGGATACTTTTTTACACAGCTTTCAAGGGAGTCACGTATTGCATTCCAACGTATTATAAATAGTACATTTAAACTAGTTTTCAATGCATTCATTAAATTTTGCTCTGGCAACTGGTGATTTTGAACACATTTTACTTGAATAACATGCTTAACATCATTCATTATATTTAAATCTTTGGATAATAGATTAAGCATATGAGCTGAATAACTGTAAAATATATGCTGAATATTTTTTCTACTTCTTTTCTCCTTATTGCTGCAATGGTTATGAAACTATAAAATTTACATTTAAATTTATTTTCAATTTTTTTTAATAGCATCAACAATAAGTAAATTTTCACACTTGCAAGTGGTGTTAAGGGTTATGAATAGCTCTCAACAAATGTATAGTTTTTATTGACTGTACAAACAAGCAAATGCAGAATTATTAGTTCATTGTGAATACTGGATTAAACATCTAACAATGTACAAATTGATTAAATAAAACATTACTATATTTATCTTTGTTCTTCATATGTATTATTTAATAATTTACCACTTTTATAGGGAGGCTTATATCCCAGAAGCAAAATTTCATTAATTTTATGAAAGGAGAGTTTTTTACACAATGAAATGATCGATACATTTGTAGCAGAAAAAAAATTTACCTGCTTAACAGTCCATTTTAGATGACTGAAAAATTTTGTTATTACAACATACTTATTTAGATCACACACTTTGTGTTTTGAATTAATACACTCATCAAATTTACACTCGAGACTCGATAGACATAGAAGTGGTACATTTTTTTTACCTTATATTAACATGGCTTTTTAAAGATAAAGATATTTTAAACAAAATTTTCTCTTTAAAAATCTTCCAATTCTTTGTATTCAATAATTAAATCTCTTTAAACATATTAGTGGTTATCTCAATCTTTGATTTTAATAAATTTCCCATCATTTAAAAAAATACAAATGCCTGATTTTAATCAATGTTTTTTTATGAAATGCAGTGATTAAAATCACCAATACATTGAACCAGAAAACAAGTTCTGTCTTTATGAGTTTAAACTCAACAATAACGTCCAAGTTCTCATGAAAATGTTATTCTTTAAGGCCATTCATAGCTTTGTTTCTTCATTTTTTAAATTTTATTTTTCCATTATATACAATGTGTTTTGTATGTCTTGAGTACCGCTTTAATTTACATAACTAAATTCTTTCATTAAACTGCTTGAAAATACAAGTATATTGTAAAAAGTATTTTACTGGTAATTATAATGTGGGTATTGACTCTTCCTTGGGTGTGTTTCAGACCTTGGTGTTCCAGGTTAATTGGTGGTTGACTGAATAAATTAGTAAATTCTAAAATTTCTACACAGATAAGTTTCTATATTCTCTTAAATTTCCTTATGTTTCATGCTTTTGGATTGAACTCAGGAAAAAGATTAAAATTATCCCCAAAGTACAATAACATTAAGGAATAGATTACATTCGCTATCTGAACCACCATTGTATTATATATATATACATGGGAACAATACACAGTCAGAACAAGTTATGAGTAAAACAGAATTCAATCAAAATTTGACTTCTTTTGGAGGGGGGTCTAATGACTTCTTACAAACTTGAGAAAAAAAATACTCTTTTAAAAGTAAAGGTATTTAATTTTAATAAATGAAACAATATTCTTCAAAAAAATCTTTTTTTATTTTTTACTACATTTATCTTATTATAACAGATTTTTCATTGGCATATACTAAACTGATGCAATCAAATTTCTAGAAACAAATATTGCACAAATAAAAATTAAACAAAAGAAACTAGCTGCACAGACAAAAACAGCATGCCATCAAAAATTATATAATCCTGCACTTGTAGTTTATATATTTCTGAAAATATCAAATCTGTTATATTACATATGACACAAAAAGGATGTAAAACTAAGGAATGAAAGAAAACAAAATATTAGAAAAATTAACTCTGCATACCTTTGAATTTTAAAATTAAAAAAGACATTTTTCTGTTCTTTGTTTTAAAAAAAAAGTACTTTTAAGGGAAATAGATGAATAATGATTGCATCATTAGAAACAGCCTTACACTTTAAAATACTCCTGGCTTTGAATCTGCATTAAAAAATCAAAGCACCACAAATGCATTTGAAAGTCTTGGGAGTTTCTAGTATTAAAAAACAATCACAGTTAAAAATGAAGATTAATTTAACTTCTAGACACCTGAGGTAGAGAAACAAATGTAATGAATTAACACCAATAAAATAGTGACCTTTTAAACACCTCAGCATAACAATATTTGAACCCTTTGCTACAAAAATATGCGATATGTAATAAATGAAAATAATGAAACTAGATAAAATTTGCAGTAAAAACTGCTCATAAATATATTCTTAATATATATAAATATACAGACAAGAATTTCATGGCACACTACTCATGTCTATAAAAAATAAAGATGAAGATATGAAACAAGTACTTCAATAAAAATCATATTTCAGATTCAAAATACTCAATTAAAATAATAGTCTCCCTATTTTGGAGACGTTCTCAAATTAAATTACAGTTAACCAAAACCAGGCAATTTTCAAAACCTGTACATTAAAACAAATGCAAAATTTATAAAATAAAATTACACCGAAATGTGAAATAACTGCTCAAGTTTACTACAGTCTAAACCCTGAGCACTTGAAATGTTCAATAGTTGCAATGAGCATTTTAGGTACTCGGTAATTAAATGGTTTATTCCAATCTAACTACTGAACAAGATTACTTCAATCTAACTATTGAGCACCTACAAATTACTTATATTATGTGTGGTCTTTATAAATATTTAAATGAGTTAAATCAATAAACATTCAAAATATTTTTAATACATAATAAAATAAAATTATAAATTTCTGGCATTCCAAAAATAAAGGACTAAATAAACATCATCAAAAAATAATTTAACAGTCCACAAAATAGAATAAATGTGGTCTGCTTACATGAGTGAAGCATTTCAAACAAAAGGAACAACCTAGGAGAAACATAAAATGAATGAACTGAATGCAAAACTCCAGAATAATATTCTTTGATGTAACTGGTAAAGGCATGGTTTAATAAGCATTTCTCTGTATAATAGAGACAGATGGGTTAACAAGATATATTCTTAACAGCAGGAATAACAATTTTTAAAAGGTTCAAGATTGTGGAAACTCGCATATTTTGTCAATTCATGCAGGCAAAAAGGATTAAAAAAACTCCAGAAAATACAATATTTCATTCCCTTTAAAATCATTAACAAAAACATTTAGCACAGGAGCCACATTTGATTCAATATGCATACTTTTCCCTGAACCCAAACTTAAACACTGAGTTTGAAGTTAAGGTTCAGATCTGTAGCCTTATACAATAGGTAGTGTCAAAAAATTAAATATCTTAAAATACATAAAATATAATTTAAATACTAACCAAAAGGCATCAAGTATCAGCCCCTATATTATAAGTCAGGTACTAGGTAAAAAATTATCACAAACCATTGATATAAAAAAAAAGTCTGAATAAAATATCACATGTGGCTCCCTTGGGAATTCACAAACCAAGTACTTAAAACATATAAAACAAAATATTTTTTTTTTTTAGGTACACAAAATATGATTAATCTATATCAAGATCAGACTATTCACTGATAAGATGTGAACAACTTGGATGAGATGCATGATACATATTCAAGAACGAATACAATCAATTAATTGCACAGGAGACAACTGGCCAGTACAAATTCGATGAATAGCAACAAGAAGAGGAAACCTGTTAAAAAAAGGAAGCATTTTTTAAGTAACACTTTACACTGGAAAGTTTAATGATTATGCAGAGCTTACAACTGGAAATTTTTTTAATAATTATGCAGAGCTCTTTCTTCAATAGAAACCAATTAAATTGAGTAAAAAAAGGGGGAGGAACCTAAACCTTTTTAACCATTGGTACAAAAAATTCAAAACAACACGAGAAATTGATTCAAATGAAATTATAAATTGGAAATAGTATCATAAAATGATAGTACAGAAATAGTGGTTGTTGCATTAATGTACCACAAAATTTAAGTGTTGATGTGATAAGAATGTTCTCCACTTTTGTTTGGGATAAAAGGTGAACACACTGTTCTCCTATCCCCCACAGTCTGAAGATTAAAGAGAAATTTATGTTTAAAATTTAAATAATTTTTTAAACTACTTCAGTTTAAATCAAGGAAAAAAATCATAAAATATAAACATTAAATAAAGACAAAATATACTTTTAAATGAACGAAACACACACACAATATACATATAAAACAAGAAAAAAAGCACATTACTTTTTCTTGCAGATATTCAAATAATTATTAAATGCCTGAAAATGGTTTTGTACAGAAACTTACCCAATTTCTGCATTAAGCTTTTGCTGATACATACTGATCAATTTAAGCTGGGTTAAGTTTCTGACATTTCTAGAATGAAGAAAATACAGAGTCCCTTGGAAAATTATATACAATTTAACAAGTGGTATCTGTGTATTAATTATGAAGCTGAATTATTATAATATATAGTACGATGTTTCCTAAACAGATATTGGTACTCTCATGACTAACATGTGACGTATAATGTTCGACAGTGAATCAAATTGTCTGATGCATGTCTGACATTTGAGGAATAGAAGTCCATTTTAAAATGCTAGTTCAAGTTTAAAAATAGTGTACTTATGTTCAATGTCATTGGAGGTGTGAGTTTGAGAAGCATGGATGCACTTCTGATGTGCTAATAGCCACTACTTGCAGCATTTCAAGTAATTATATAAGAAGATTTTGTTAAAACGTAACCTATGAAATGTATAATTATATTAACCTGCAATTAAGTTCAACACCAATACACAATACAGAATTTTCTTTCATTAAAGTGTGCATGCATTCTTTTGAGGGACTTTGTGTATAAAGAGTATATAATTAGATTTTTCAATTAGTCTTTCCTGCTAACGACATAGCATGACTAAAAAATACTTAAGACACTTCTTTGTTATAGTAGCCTACAATACTGAATGCCAAAAAACCGAGATATCTCACTAAAATATGGCTGCATGTTCTTATATCTTGCCACAGGATTGTAATATATTAGTACTGGCTGCATGTTCTTATATCTCGTCACGTAATCATACATTAGCACCATGTTACATATTTGCTCTCACTGCGAAAAGAATACCATCCGTGTTGGAAATTGATACAGCGGTGCCAGAATATTATTTGGCACTGCTATTAGCTTTATCTATTCTTGGGTACATGAAATGGTGTAACAAACAGCTTAATATGTGTGAAAGTGCTGCAGTTGAATGGAACAGTTACATGCGATAAAATGATAAGGATTCTTAAAAATATTCTTAGGAAACAACATGCAAGTATTATTTTTATTATTTTATTTTGTGTTGTTTATTTTGACATTCGCACTTCATGAGCTTGATGAAATTATAGCCAAGATCTTGGCGCAAATCTTAAATCGCCAAATATAGTTGGAGGCTGCTATAATGAAGAAGTACCACAATTTATTGGCTACTACTTTTTTCCTGAAGGAGGGGAAGAAAAATGCATACCAATAACAAGGAGTCTGCTATTTTACTGAGCAACTCTTTCATATTACATATGAATTCTTTTAAAAACACACACCATACATTTCCAAATAACTCATCTGGGTATAAATTCATACTCTCTACTGTACCCATGTATAAATCTAATTAAAAATTGTTTTATACATAAAGCTATTTATCACTAATAATGTGTGTCACTGGTTGTCTAAATTAAGTAGATTTATCAGAAAAGTGAAAGATAAGTGTCAAGTTTTCAACCATTCAAACACAAGCCAGAAATGATCACTGATCATTTAAAATACATTACATTAGTAATACTATGGACGGGAATGAAGCTGATTTTACCCGAGAACAGGAGGATTGACAATGTTAATTGTGAAATGGAGGATAATGCTAATCCTCCAGTAACACTTCTGAGAAGTGCTCAAACTTAGAAAATTTAATTAATACGTGTTAAGATTAAATAAAATAAAAATCAAATCTGATTATTTTAATTCATTTTTATGATTGAATTACTTGTAGATTATTCTGAACATATACAGAAGCCAACCTCCAAATCTCAGCAGCAAAAAATTTCTACAAATTCTTGGCAAAAATGTGCAGTAATTTAGTAAAGTATTTAGAATCAGAAAACAATTTAGAAACTGTTCAAAAACATTAAATTAGGAAACATTTTATCCAACTACCAGAATTTAAAAACAGGAAGAAGGAATGTAATGTAGCATTCTGTAATAATGTATGAATGGAATGTCAGAATACACATATTTGCAAAAAACATAAAATACTGTGTGATAGGTTTAAAAACAATAAAATATATAGCTGAAACAAAAAGATTTTTGTTCATTCAGCCCATGAATAAGCTTGCATGAAACACTAAACTTGTAGGAAATACTGATGTTTGAAAATAAAGTCACTTATAAAAAATAATAAAAAAAAAAAAAAAAATTATATAAAATCTGATTTAAAAAAAAAGAGATTAAATTCAATAATTAATCATTAAACATACAAAATACTATTCTTCAAAAGTGCAACCTGTACAAATTTACAATGAAAGTAATACAAACTTTTCTAATAATCCTTTGCTTTCCAGCATTATATATACTTCTTCAGCAGTTTGAGGACCTTGCATTCTCTGTCCATTCAACATTTCTTTTTCTAGCTGCTCCATGCTCTATAGATTAATAAAATAAATAAATAAAAGAATAAAAAAAAAGACTATATATAAACTATATAAACTGCAATATACTTTGTAACTATACCATTCCAGAAACGACTATTTCACATTCATATTCATAGACTGAATTCTTAAGAATGTCCTTAGAAAATTGTATTTTTAATTTTTCAAATAATTTATATAATGTCTTTCACTTTAAATATTAATAATATACAAAAAAAATTAAATGTTCAATCCAGCTAATAAAATCTAGAGGAAAAATTGTAACTTCATATTATGTGAAAAACCTAATTTATGATACATTGACAAGTATGATAAATAATGTATTTCATTCTTTTCTATCTTAGCTTCCACTAAAAGTATTTTAACACATATTTTTAAAATAGTTATGAAAAATTTACCTAATAAATTTTTGTATATTAGATTTTGTGAAATCAGCTTATAAGCAATATGCTTTACATGCTTTTAGATATTTATTACCAGCTTATTATATCCAGCTTGCTTATATATATTCATGAAATTATTTTTCTATAAAGACAAACAGATTTGCTGAATTCGGATTTTTGCCAGTGGTTACGATGGCCCTGGTTAAAAGGTCGTGTTTTAGTAGCCTTAAGAGCTCAATGCATGCTTCAAGAATTAATGAAACTTGAACAATTTTATTAATAAAAATCTATCAAATCCTGTAAATGCATTTTAATTATATTTGTATATAATTAAAATGTAAACAAAGTTGGTACAGGAAGGGGTCTTAGGTATTTTCCATCAGTGGTCGAATGATAAAACTGCAGAGTATTGGTAGTTCCTCCGGGGTTCGAATTGCAGCGAATGGGCTGGCTGCATGGACATTTTTGTGGTTTTTCCCCAAGAGCAGCATGTATACAAGATAGTTTCCCTTAGAAAGCCATCTACCAAGGCCTCCCTTCCCTTAGGTAGATAGCCCTCGAGAGCTTTGTGTAATTTCATAAACCAAGTCTCGGATTTTTAGTTTACGGCCTCACGTTAAATCCTACCTCACTAAGAAATAATGCAATTATGCAACAGGAATACAATAATATAAGAAAGTGCAGAAATTTTTTGCACTTTCTGGTTATTCACATCCCTCTTCGAGAAATTGGCAACTCATTGACAACTAATTTTTCACCAAGTTAATAATGTGAAAGGTAACAAAGATTTTGAAATTGGTGGCACACTAAGGACTTCATAAAAGAGCAATAAATCATCAAAATTTAAAAAAGCATGAAAAATCCGTAATAAAACACAGTTTTCAAGATATACTTAAGTATTTTTTTTTTCTCTGTTCTACACTACACAGTGATCTGTTCTCTCTTGAAAACATCAGAGAAAGGCAGAAACCTGTGACGAGAGCACGGACATTAGTGGCAAAGCTCAATTAGCAGCATTTCTTCGTTCTTGTGACAAGAATTTTAACATTTTTGAGGAATTACTGGAACTAATACCGATGCCTGGTACTACCACAGGAGAAGATATATTTACTTGTGTTTTTGGACTTCTGCAGAAATACAATCTACCTTTGGCAAAATTAAATTCTGTAGCTACAGATGGCGCTCCATCAATGACCGGGAAAAACAAGGGCTTCGTAGCATTACTAAGAAAAAAACTTAGTGAAATTCACGGTTCAAACATTCATCATATGCATTGTATTATACATCAAGAAGTTCTATGCACGAAAGTAATAAATATGGAGAATGTTTTGTCATATATTAAAAAAGTTATAAATTTTATAAGATCTCGAGGTTTAAATCAGCTTTCTTAAGGATCAGCTTTAATTCACTGCTTTCTTAAAGGAGTTAGATAGTGAATATTCGGGTTTGTCCTACTATACCGAGGTACATTGGTTATCTTGCTCCAAGATTCTCAAACAATTCTGGGATTTGAAAGAAGAAATATGTCAGTTTTTAAAAACAAAAAATCAAGACGCAAGTTTGTTTTACGATCCAATATGGATACAAGATTTATCTTTCTTGGTTGATATAACCAAGCACTTAACCGATTTAAATTTATCGTTACAAGGAAAAGATCATATCATTACGAACATGTTTGACATAATTAAAGTATTCAAACGTCAACTAGTTCTTTGGGAAAAAACAACTTAAAAATGAAGATTTGACACACTTCCCGACGTGCAGCATGAACAAATCAAGTTTAGATGATACTTGTTCGTATCAAAAATACGCAGAAAAAATTGCAAATTTAACAACTGAATTTGAAACGAGGTTTAATGATTTTAGTTCCCTCGAAGACAAATTTTTTTTGTTGACATCCCTGCCTTACAAGAAAGAAAAATATGTACTCAGTGCAACAAAAACAAACATAAAAAAATTTTCCCCTAGAATCTGAAACTGGAAATCAATGCTCATCTGCTGCTTGCACATGCATACCTGGGTTGCCACATAAAAAATTCTGGTGATGCCATGGGTTGCCTATTTTGGTGACACAGCATGTTGCCCTACACAGTTAGTTACATTTTAGGGGTTACCTTTAAAACCTTTTAGGCGTTTGCAGATAATCAGAGAGAACCAAATTTTTAATACATATAACTGAGCATTTCTCTGCATATGAATATTTTTTCAGGGATTTATAAAATTGGAATACACATTTTCCCTATATATTCTTATACTCATGCAATAACTTTATTTAGAAAATTGCCATTACCTTTCCAGTCCTAATAAAAGCTTCAGCAATTTTGCGATTACGACCACCATAACAAGTAGTGATTAAATCTGCTACACCACAGCTCTCAAAAAATGTACTAAGCTGCGATTCAGGATAGAAGGTTTTAGCATATGTTATCATTTCCATCAATCCTATTCGCATGACAGCAGCTTTACTGTTGTCTCCAAGTTCTAAACCATCAACTATACCTGCTCCAACTGCAACAATATTCTAAAAAATAACATATTAGGATACTTTAGTTTCAGATATCCTTAAAATAGTCTAAAATTATTCATTAACATTTACTAATAAAATCTACATTAAAATAAAAAAGGCATATTCTTAAAACTTGAAATTAGTACTGAAAATATTAATTGTGAAAATTAACAAACTTCAAAATTCCAATTTATTTTAAAAGACAACCTCGGGTCTTTTCTTTTCAAAAGTAAAGAATTCTATATTTTGAGAACAATCAAAGATATTGAGAACAATCAAAGATATTGAGAACAATCAAAGATATTTTGAACAACACATAATTTAGATACATTCTTAAATTACAGTTAATAATTAACATTTTTATTTATTTCTAACATTAAAACATTATCCTTAAAAATGTTCTATTTTAACATGGGCTAAACTGGTTAAATTAAGCTGGAATTCTCCATATAATGAAATTCAAGAAAAACATCCTGAAATTCAAAATAAAAATTTTAAAAAATTGCACATTGCATTCCTAAAAACTGCTTTCATTGCATATAGGAACACATGAAATTTCTTCCACTGCATTAGAATATAAATAATTAAAAACTGAAAATATAATTAATGAAAATAGTAATTACCTTTTCAATACAAAATAATTTGAAAAATGCATTTTAAAATAAAAATTATCTCAAGATTTTAAATTTACCTTAACTTTAATATGAACAATTATGCTTAATAAATATTTAATAATAACTACTAACCCCTTCTTAAAAATACATTTAAATAATAATATATTTGACAGAAAAAAGGCTTAGATTAATGAAATTTAATACAAATTAATGACTAATGTGAGGCATAATACCAAGAAAACAAGTGATGGTTTTAAATTAAAATAACGTTTTCTTGGCAAGGGAAAAGCATGTAGATTATTAAATTTTAAACACATTTCTTTAATTTGAGATGTTATAAATATTCTCCATGGTTAGAATTTGAATGAATTATGACATATTATTACAACATAATGCAATTTACAGTTGACAATGATTTACAAGCGACTACTGATTATGCTCAACATTTACGGATAATTCACGAATATCCAAATATGTAATGAATAATTAAGCTAATTTTATGCATCATTTTAAATCAACATTAACAAAAGGCATACTTTAAGGGCACCGCAAACTTCAATAGTACGAATATCATCTACGACAGCAATTCGAAAATAATCTGTCTGCATTATATTCTTCAGCATTTGCCCTATTTGTGGATCTTTAGAACCTGCAAGATTCATTCAAAAATATTTGTACTTGTTAACAATAAATAGCTAAAATTAAAGTTTTATAGTTTTTGTACTAAAGATATCAAATATAAATACAAATAATATTTTAATATTTATACATCACATTCCAAATAAAATTCGTAGTAATTACATAAATGTTCTTTAAAAATGAACATATGAATCAGCTCTATTCAGAAAATTTCTTTTAATAACCTTCATTCTTTCATGGATTTAACAATGTTTTACTATTATTCTACTCATCTTCCTTAATTTTTCCTGCTAGTTATTAGCATAGGTTATGTTCCTTAAATATTTAACAGTTCACACTGACAGCATCGTTTCAAAAACTAGATTATATATAGATATTCACTTTGCTAACAATTCTTAACTATGCATACATTACAAGAACTTTAGCTAAGAGTTTTTGCTACACAAAAATTACCTTTATAAATATACAAATAGCACTTAATTTCTTAGATACAATAGTTATACTTTTTAAAGAAATTTGCACGAAAGCTGCTTACACTGAAACCAATGCATACGTTGCAATAATATTGGAAAATAACTTGAAGATAATAATAAAATTATGCACAAAAGGATTCAAAATTACAGGAAACAATATTTTTTTTTTTTAAAATCTGAAAGGGTTAAGATTTTAACAATTGCCCAGAAGGATTTGTTAAAGTCTTTTATGCTCTTGCTGAGCTCACTGTCTACCAATCTGTTGTTGCACTCCATTCCTGTTAACACATTTCTTTTTACCTTTTTAGCTTTATTATTTTCTCCATACTAATGCCATATTACAATACAACCGCAAAATTGCAGTGTTAGGTGTTGGCATGCATTTTTCTATTTTTTCAGTCTTTTCTCATTTTAATCAGTCCAGTTTTCTTAGTAACAAAGCTTGCAAAACTACTTTTTAATGTCTTTTTATTATTAATATTTTGTATGTTAACTTTTATTGAATATCATGTTCTTCACACTTATGGCACATAAAATTCAATACCAAAATCACAAAATATTAAAAACAGTATATTTTTTAGAATTTCTGATAGCCAGTCTTATGTGCTAAAGATGAAAATGTTTTAATCCATACAGTGTTGTTACTGCTTGCTTTCAAATCATTGAGTTTGTTAAAGCCGAGACAGTTATACATAATGTTGGCACACAGATAAAATGAACAGTAGAAAGATGAAAATCTATACTAAAAGGATGGAGACATAAGTCACTGTAGATATTCATCACATAATTTTCCTATCTTGATAAAGCAATTTTGATTCATATACCATTAACACACCTAACAGTTTTTGGAAGCTTACCTTTTACGATAATGGACGATAGACAGAAATTAGTCATGATAGGTTAGCAATAGCCAAGAAAATGAGAAAAGTGACAACTCATTTAGCAGCAGCATGGGAGAGTCAAAAGGTTTCAATTCCTAAACAGAAATCTTTACTTGGATAAGAGGTATCTGCATTGCAGGGTTACATTAAGAAGCATGATGCAGATTAATTTTGAAGTGATGCTGTTTAGATTGATATGTTACAAATAGTTACTTTTTTTAGGATGGAAAGAGACATTAAAATTAAACCACATTAAAATGAACAATAGAGAGGCTACTGCAAATTAAAATTAGAAATCTGCTTTTATATTTTATATATAGCATTTAAAAAAAAAAAAAAAATGCTTAAATTATGACTTGTATTTAGTTAAGTATATCCAATATTTATAGCTAATTCTTTACACACAGAGAAAATGATTCTGATAATTATATATACTCTCAACGACACTTTAACACATAATATTGTATCTGATATTACTGACTTTCGACGTTTATTTTTAATAATAAATTTTTGTAATCATTAAAATTACACGAAAAGATTTTTTATGATTAAAATTATAAAAATTTGATAATATTTTAATACAATTTTTAATATTTTATCAAAATAACAAGGAAGGCTAAAATGTTCAAACATCAATTTTTTAGTACAGTACAGTCTTTAATCCGGACCTCAAAGCTACAAACTTTCTGCACATGCGTAAACATTACACATGCGTGTTTAATGTATAACGGACAGTATAAGCTAGGCTAAAATTATCCAATTATCCATTTCAGTTAATGTTGCAGATTGTGTTGGTCCTTAATCTTCTAATTGGATCCGGCTTATTATTTTTTGCAGACTGTTAAGAGCAATTTTATAAAAAGTAAGCTTGAACTTTTGATTATATCAAAAAGAGTTTCCGATACTGGAGCTGCCAAAGGATCTACAAAGCAAAAGCATGTTTTGATGTACCGCTTCCGATAGTGAAGAAAGTGACAGAGAGGTTATTGAAAACGAAAAAATTTCGATTGACAAGTTAGTCGGTATTCTCGACACGGCAATTGAAGGACTTGAACAGTGGAACTGAACAAGAAATTATGTCTATTTATAGAATTAAAGAGAAAGTATTAGCACAAAAAACGAAGCAACTTAAACAACTTACATTGAAAGAAATGTTTAATAAAGTAAACAAATAAATATTAAGCTTTTTTATGTAAATTTTGATACCCTTTAGATCATAATTGCTCTTTATTTCATATTTTTAATTTTATAATTTCTGCATGCCATCTTACCAAATTTAAATTGATGATCTATAATCCGGAATCGCCGAAGTTTTGACAAGTTCGGATTAAAGACTTTGTATTGTACCTGTACAGAGCATGGGAAAATTTATGTAATTACTATCAGTTCAAACAAAATAATTCTAAAACTAAATCATTAATGCTTCAAACAAACCTATGGTGGATTCGCAGAACTTTCCAGCAGCAACTTCACCAGCCAAATTAGCCCCCATCATTACACTTACATCTATGTTTAGCATTTCCCGCAACACATCCGATATTAGTGCAATGCCACCTCCAGGAAGAATGTCAAAGCCCTTTTGAGAATAATTGGTTACACAATTAGATATTAAAACAAATTTCATAAGTCAAAAATGCATATCTAGTACTATTTTACAGTTAAAAAAAATTATACCTTAATCAGTGACAAAGCTACTGCAGTTGGTTTAATTTTACCAACAAGAGGTGTGCAAGCACCTCTTACAAACTTGTGTGGCAAAACCCATACTAGGATGTCAGCATCTACTGCAGCTTCTAGAGGATCTGTTACTGCAACCTAAGAAAAATTATCATTAATCCTTTAAATTATCCTTAATCTTTAAATTTAATATTTTACTGTTAGGTATGTTTTCTAATGGCAAAATGAAACAGAACACATTACTACTATAAAGATTTTAAATATTTCTCAATCACAAAGAATTAATAAATTAAATTAATCCTTGGAAAGTCTCCTAGATAACTGATAAAAAAAAAAAAAAGATTTGAACTTGTCTCACAAGCCTTTTTTTTGGGGGGGGGGGAAGGATTTAAAAACTTTATTCACTACAGCAAGTATAACAAAAATAAATGACAGCTTTACTGAGAGAAATAGATACCTAAAGTCAAACATTATGCCCTAGAATTATTTTTGGTACTGTTCTGTTAATGGGACTGGATTCAGAAATGTGTGTATACGCTCCGTCGCTAATAATCTCCGAGTTCTAGCACAGAATGCGCACAAGTACTTTCATATTATTGGATACAACTTATTCTTCACGCATTTAAAAGTCAAGTATAATATATTGGTAAAGGGCGTTAATGGCCGATTGCCTCTTACTAAGTAATAAGACATAGACATGCATACATGAACACATACATGCATATGTACATACATAAATCTAAGTATAAAGTACCAGGAGCATTTTGTCATCAAAATCAGAAAAATACTTCTTTTCCTGGTAGTTTTGGAGTCAGTTGGAGAATTAATAACACAGTAATGTTTACATAAATATTCTTATAAAAAGTGTAATGCTTAATATCTTTGATTAAATACTTTTACTTAAAATGTTTCAGTACCTGTTCATAAAATGTCAATCAGAAATTAAAGAATTATATAGTCGACTTAGAAGGATGCATAAAAGAAGCAGTACAATAAAAAATTACAAATATTACTTAATGCACTTTTAAGCTTTTAATACTATATTACATAAATTATAAGATACAAGAAAGATACCTAAGTTTTCTATGTATACATTTAGTATCATCTAATATAATTCTCATAGAATGAAATGAGGCTCAAATGAAATACTTACAACATTATCAGGAATTTGGAAACCAGGTAAATATTTAACATTTTCGTGTTGGGTATTAATGATTTCACTAAGTTTCTTGCCATCCACAAGTTCCTCAAAGACATACATCTTCACAGTGTTATCGAATTCTTCAAAATTTTTTACATTATTCCCAACGATTCTTGCAATTGCGGTGCCCCTGAAAAACAACAAAAATGTACCGAATATTTTTGGATCTGAGAAATTAAATGAAACGATTTCGGCAGTATTTGGATTACTACACATCTGAACAAATTCTAATACTGTAGAAATTAATCAAAAAAAAAAAAAAAAAAGCATGTACAGTTCCTAGACATAGAAAGGGGGCGTTTCCTAACATGCGAAAAATTATTTCTTCTGGTATATTGACCTAATAAACAGATGTTCCAATGGACGAGAAAATAAGACGTGGGATACATAAAACTTACCAATTGCCGGAACCGATGATCGTAACTTTCTTCATGATTGGGATATGGTTTGTGTATTAGGTGACTTTAAAGGAGACTGTAAGTTTTACACTTGCTTTTTATATGTGCTGGAACATCACAAGTGCACGACAAAAAAATAACCTCTGACCTTGTAAGCGCCCATCACCCCATTCGCTATCAACTATCAACACATAAGCCGTCTATTCTATTTCTAACTCACCGCTTAACATTTACTTCTTTTATCAACAGATGTCGCTAGTAACTTTTAACTTAAAGCATTATTGCGTAAATATGAAATTCTTTTGTAATTTGGAAGTAAGTCAGCTATCTCTTTTCTTGAGAAAAAATTCTAGAATAACATAATTTCATATTTTTATTTGGAGATTAGCTTAGTCAAAAATTAATTCATGAATAAAAATAATAAATTTTTGTAAAAAAAAAAAAATAATGAAGGTCACCTTGAAATGATTTTTTAAATAGTTTCTGTTAATATATTCTGCAAAAAACTTAACTTTCTATTAAAAAGTTACTAGTTTAATTTTATATTACGTAGTGTCTTTTCAATTACATTCATGAATTGCAGAAATACGAGCAGTAGCATGATACACAAACGGCAAATAAAAACGATTACGTCTAGAAATAAATTACATTTTTTTCTATAGTCTTTTGTATTTCCAACTTCATCTAAAAATTGAATTATTTGTTGACACTTTTAAACGTACGGCTTTTAACTGTGCATAAAAAAAATCTAGAAAATTCATTTACATAGTACACAAGCAAACATTTATTTAGATTTCAATAATAGGAAAACAAAGGGGTTTTGAATACTATCACTGAATTTTAGTCGAAACCACAGAGTATAAAGCCTATACTTTATACTTAGTATCCTTATACTTTAGTATCTTTATACTCCGTGGTCGAAACCAAAATCACTTATGATCCTAATTTAGACTTAGAAAGGTGCTTCTCACCTTTCTGTTAGGCTTCACCAAACAGATTTAGCAAGCATTCATAAGGACAAAACAAACTGTAGTTAAAACCAGAGCATTTTTGTATTTTTATTTTATTTATTTTTATTTATTTCTTTTCTTCATCCTTCTTTTCATAGTTAAATTTCTAGAGGAAACTAGAATAAAGTCAAACAGCACAGTAAAATTTATGTGTACCGCTTGGATAGTGAGCAGGATTTGTAGACCAAGATTTCTAGAAAGTTTGAACTCTAGATTCTGATACCGAGAAAACTGTGAAACATCTTGTAAAAAAAAAAAAGGAATTTGAAACAGAAAACTATGTAAACTTATCCATGAGGCCCTTATTCGGTTCTCGACCGCAGTGCATTTTGGTAGCCTAAAGAAAACGAAGAAGTTTTGGGATTTCTATAGGAGGACAAATGATTAAACGATTCCAAGTTCCACTGATAGCCGCGATTATTGTGCATTTTTTCACAACGTGTTCCGACTGTCATCAATTTGGTGTATAAACTGGCGTTTTAAGTTAGATGCATGACTGTGGGTCTAGAGGACAGCACAGAAGGTGTAGGGAAAGAGTATGCCAGTTTTCAAGAGAGCAGCAAAGGATATCAGATTGGTTGAGACGTGTCTAAAGTAGAAACTGTAAACAGACAATTACATGAACACAAAATATCATTTAATGATAAAAAGGTAACAGTGAACAAAACAGGTCGATAGAGATATGTATAAATGTGCATCATAAGAAGGCAGCAGATGAAAGCAATAAAGTCTTGAATTCAATGATTAAACAGGTTAATTAGCCAAAGAACCTGCTAGATTTGCTCTTCCTGAACTACTGCTTTCTTCCACATAATCATTAACGTGCGGCAATGGCTTAGCGGAAAATGCAATTTGTCCAGAATGGCACATTTTGGAGGGCGCCATTTTTTGGGCGAAATATATCACATAGATAAATTTATATGGATCTTCTGAGCAGAATAGATGGGAATTTATTGAATTTTAGAAAAGTTAGCTACGGTTATCTGTCTGAGAGAAGGGATGACTTCATCAAGGACTGGAGTTTCATCGAAGGGCTTAAAGATTGTGATGTGGCTCATACTCAATTTATGTATGTCTGAATAAAATGCTATATAGCTTATGTTACACATAAGGTAAACCATGAAAATCCTGATTCTGCCGTTTCATTTAGGGGATCTGACTTCAGGAAGAAGTACCAGTATCAACCATCTTATCTATTTAGCCATTGGTAAAGAGAAGGATCATGAGGTGTCATATGATACTATGGCAACCCAGCGTAAGATTATTGTTCTTACATAGAGCAGAGTATTCAGATAAATTACAAAGAGGTTTCAACAGCTTCATGTTCTTGCTATTCATTCTTACTCCAACGAAACTTTTGAATGAAAAATACGAATGTTAATTAAATTCTGATCCGGAAGCAAGGAAAAGTTCCTCATCGACAGAGAAATATTTCAGTGTTTTCAGTAACAGAAACTCTTACTGCTTCAGTAGGCAAAGCAAAAGGGTGAAAAGGCGATCGCTTAAATGCTTGCAGCTTATTCTGAAACAGGAACGCAGTTTCAAATATAAAAAATTCCTGAGAATTTTTCTCGAAAAAAAAAAAATGCTACAATTATTATTTGCTATGAGAGAAATATTTCTAAATATAGATCAGTTAAGAAGCACCGAATATTTAATCAATACTTTGCTTTACGAAATGGCTTTACTTTACGTATTCTTTTTGAAAACAAACAGGAAGGCAAAATAATACATAAAACAGTTCAATGAACATTATATAAAATATTCATTGAACTAGAATGTTCATTGAACCAATTCTAGAATGACTGCAATGCAGAAGGCTCTCATATACTGCATTTTTAAACAGGTAATAGAAAAATATTTCCATCATAATTATGTAACAACTTTAATTTGAAATAATATTTTTACATAATTTTTCACATATTTATGTTTTCAGAGCAGAAAACGTTGTAAAATAGTACACATCCAGATTGAATATATATGTAGATCATATTAGCGGAAATACTAATGTAATTGATTAATACATATATGAAATCAGATCTAAAGAAACAATTGTCTTAGCTTGTAGTTTTAGTATTTAGTTTTCTGTGTGTGCAATAAATGTTAAAAATACAAGAAGGTGGATTCATTCCTCTATGAGGTGGTGTAAGAAGAAAGAGGTCATACCCAGTATGTGTACGCAATGTACGCATTGTGATAAAACAACGGTAGAGAACAATAGATCCATCAAATTTTAAATAAGTACCTTTCCACCCAATTATCGGCATCTGGAAGCTCAAATTTGGAATTTGTTTTATTATCTATTTCGTATTTTGTAAAGCATTTATGAGTTTTTGATTATGAAACTTACCGATTTCAAAGCGAGCAACGGCAACACTGTACGAAAATAATAATAATAATAATAATAATCTCCAGCGCGCGTGACTGTTTATCGGAAATTCTAGAGATTTGCTCTTTTTTAATTATTTTGCGATATTACTGTTGAACTGAATTTTATGGTTTCAATGCGAAGAACATGACATTTAATAAATAAAGGTAACACTCAAAACGTTAAAAAAACGCCCCTTTAGCGCGTAATATAAAATCTGAAAATTTTCAGACTTTTCTGTGTGTGTGGGGAGGGGAACAAACATTTAGAATATCATCTCTTACTTTTAATCCTGACCGTTCACGTAATTAGCTGTGCAGAATCATTTATGATAAGGTATTCCCGAAAAGCTGGAAGGGGGGAAATGTCATCGATGATTTTGCTAGCTGGAAAACAAGTATAGCAACAGCTTATAATATTATGATTAAAATTGTAACTAACCCAGAGCTTTTACTTGTTTCCCAACATGTCATTTTAACATTAGACTTTCTGGAATGCACAAGCATCGCCGGGGCTGCAAACGTTTTAGCTACACCACTGACGTACACAAATTTGTCAGTGTCCCAAGTTTTCCGATTCAGCCTAACCGATTATTTATTTTACTTCATGCGAAGAGAACCAGAGGCTCACTACCTGTCTTACAATATTTGAGAAAACGATTGGTACGGGAGCGGAGGTTTACTGTTCTAGACAAGCACATATATCTTCATATCTTTGACAGAATTTGTAACTGCTGCGAGATAAGAAAAAGTCGCAAGGCTTCGCTGAGACGAAGGTTTTGCGGCCATAAAAGGACTTATCTGAGCTAATGAAGACATCTAGCACAGCCAATAAGTCGAAAAAAATCCATTTTTCTGAAGTCGGAAAATCTGAACTTCACGTACAGCGCAGCTTAGTTGTCCGTTTGCTCAGATAAACCCTAGGGTGTACGGTCCTTATGGGGTATGAGCCGAGCTTCATTGCTAGGAAACCACAACTTGCTACGCTATAAAACTAGTTGAAGGATTTTGCCTAAATGTTCTAACTTTTTGATTTTATACGAATCTACTATAAGAGCCGAGCGATCAAACACAAGCTGATGTTCAGTCAACGGTTTCCTTGAGTTATCTGCAATTTACGCAAGCGAAAGTTTACTTTTCATGACCAGCCACAGCTTAAACCTTCACACAAGTGTGAACAGATTTAATGACTTTTACGCATTAAACGACAAAGCCCTTGTCTGAATGAAACCTTAAGGGACGTTCAGACTGGGGTTTATACGAGCTTAACGGAGTCAGTTCCGTGTGCCGAATAGCTCCCTACATCCGCAGTTCAAATTTTTCAAGATACGGCAAATAAATTTTTCTAAGGCTTCTCGAAAAGTCAGTTTTTGGCTAGTATATACCTACTGGAACTAAAAGGATCCCCTCAAGGCAATAAGATCCACCAGCTTAATAATATGTTTAGTTTTAACACCACCATAGAGGCATTCAATCCCAAGAAAAGGCCAGTCTAATGCTACCGCTGACAGCAGTTCGGTCATTCGTAATATTGTTGCAGTAATGCCGTCAGATGTGTGAAGTGCGGGCAACAACATTGAAGTAACCAATGCAACATGAAGCCAGAAGGCAAGCCTAAATGTATTTTCTGCGGACTCTGCCACGTCAGCAGCTATAGAGGCTGTAGTGAATATAAGAAAAGATTCTAAAATAAAAACAGCCCTCTCCAGCCTAAAGCTCCAGAATTCTCCGAAGAAAACTTCCCTAGCTCCAAGACTGCTGAAATTAAAACGCAGAAAAATCCCAGCCAAGCTACCTACAGTGAGAAACT